TGTCCTTGGGTCCCCTCAGGATTGTCCCATTGGAAGGTGAAAACGGGTTGGCTCTGAGGAGTCAGTCACATGCAAAAGAAGGCATCTTTAAGGTCCAGACAGGTGAAGTAAGTAGTGTCAGCAGGGATTAAGCTCAGAAGCGTGTATGGATCAGGAATGGCAGGGTGCAGGGTGACAGTTGCTTGGTTGACTGCCCTGAGGTCTTCTACCAGTTGGAAGTCATTGGTTTCAGGCTTCTGAACTGGCAGTAAAGGCATGTTCCACGGGGACTGGCATGGCCTTAAAAGTCCATGTTTGAGGAGTCTGTCTAGACATTTTTATATCCCCTGCTGAGCTTGTCAGGAGATATAATATTGCTTTTGGCAAACTGGCATTGTGCCTGGTTTCAGTTCTACCAGGACTGGGGGAATGTCCCTTGTCAGGCCTGGTGGGTTGTCCTCAGCCCAAATTCTGGGCACCCAGAAGGGAAGCTCCAGCACTATTGCCGTCGTGGCCTCTAAACTAAACAACCACCATTCTTCTCCCTGGGGAACAGTGAGGGACAGGATCTGAGCCTCTGAATTTCCCAGAGTTAAGGATATCTCTCTGATCTTTGAAAAAGTTATTTGGGCCTGTTATTTACTCAGCAGGTCTCATCCCAGCAGGGGTATTGGACAGTAGGCAGGTATAGAAACTCATGAATGACTTCACTGTTTTCTATGTTGCATTTTCTGGGTAGCAAAGGAGTGTCTCTGTCAGCTTCCTGTAGCTCTGGTGGTTTGATTTCGAGAGAGGCCCAAGAGATTGTGTGTCCACCATGAAGTTTAGAGGTTGGCCCCCTACCATCATTTGGACCAAGGGCTCCTGAGGGTCCAGGGAAAGGGAGCCTGGTCAGTCCTATTCACTTTCATATTGTTTACATTGAGCCAGGCCAGTGCAATTTTGATGGGGCGCCTTGGTAATCAGTTTGTCTGAGTTGTGGTCCCCTTGGGAGGTTTGTCTGACCTGGGACTGACATTTCTCTGGCCAGGAGAATTTGGCAGTATTTTTCCATGCAGGCCTTTAACCAGGAGGGTGGAGAATGAATTAAGTCTTCCCAAGAATCAATATAGGAATATTGCTCAGTGTGGCCGTAGGGCCATGTCCATGTTGACCAATAATAACTGGCTGGCCTGTAATAACCTGTCTGACTCAACAGATAAGGGAGAGGTCAAAGGATGCCTCAGAGGGCCATCCTACACTGAAAGATGGGCAATCCACTTCACAGGATGTCTGAGTTTGTCAGGGGACAGCTTGACACCATAGTCACCAGAAAAGCCTTTTCTAAAGTTCCTCAGAACACAGGCAAAGGGAATTTGTTTATTAGGTTTTCCTCTCATGTTTTCCACCCATGACCGGTGCCGCAACAGTCACTCAATTCCAACTGCTTCATCTGTCTCTAGCCGCCCACCTCGTGGTGATATTTCAGTGCCTCCTGGCTTTGGTGAGATGATATAAACCCCACATCAGGACCTCTCTTGCAAGAGTCACCCTTAGCCATATGAGGTCTCAATGGACCTGTGGGTTGGGACTCTGCACTTGCTTCATATCCAGGATACATCTCAACCACACACATTCACGCACTTGCATTCACCACCCAAAAATTCCCAAAAATCCTGACTGGAGAATGTGGTATCCTCTGTGGGATGGAGCACTAGGACATTTCCCCACTGTGGGAGTTGATCAGGCTCCCCTTCTATTCTCCCGAGAGTAGGAATATGCTGGGGCCTAGGCCCTTCCTTACCTTGTTCGATGAGTGGTGCTCCCCTGGTCTGGTTCCTGTGTGCCTCTTTTGGGTTCCATTATGCTCAGGGTTGGTCCCCTGTGCCAACCAGGTGAAGTCATTCCCACTTACAGAAAACTCCCTTTTGGTGCACCTGAGTGTGGTCCATGTTGCCAGCTGTCTCGAGGGCCGAGACCAAGAGACAAAGGAAGCAGTTAAGCTGCCATCTCCACCATCCCGTAGGAGCCCCCAAGAAATGTTGCAGCGTTTTGGCGAACTCTTACAGAGAGGTGGGACACCGAGGCTTCTCCAGGAAGCAGAATTTATTGACCAGCTGGCCGTGACTTGGAGGGCTAATGTCCAAATGCTGAGACCCCAAACACAGCAGAGCTGTTATTTTTATATCATACTATATCCGGGTTTTACAGCATGTTAGAGGGCGCTTTATCTTAGGGCGGAAAATTACAGGCAAAAAAACAGAAGAGAAATTCAGTTTCATCAGTCTGTGATAACCACAGGGTGAGACTGAAGGGTGGCTGCAGCTGCAGAGGCGTGTCAGCTGTAGCTGGTTCTGCAAGATACCTGGTTTGGGCAAGTGAGAGTGCCTCAGAATTACTGAAAAATAAAGCAGTGCTTTCCAGGAATAAGATAGCAAATAGAGGACAATTCTGTAGTTAATATATAGAAGTTAAGCTTTTGAACTTGAATCATCTTTTGCTCCAGTTCAGGTCTGTATGATGTTAACCGTCAAAATAAGCAGTAAAGGGTAGGGAATGCTTTAGAAATTTAGGGAAACAGAGCTTACCGTGACATGGAATGGGGATGATAGCACAATATGTAGGAGGCATATCTAGGGTTTTAACAAAATGATGAACAGCAAGGAATGAAGGGGTCACTCATAAATAACTATGTAGAAGTAATAGATATGATAATTAGCTGGGTTGTGATGATCATCTCACAACGTGTACATATATCAAAACATCAAATTGTACACCTTAAATATCTATAGTCTTTATATGTCAGTGATGTCACAATAAAGCTGTTTTTAAAAAAATGAAGGTGTGAAGTTGGAAATGCACAAAGCCTGGTGGGGGCTTTCAAAAGACTGACCTGAACATGGCCACATAAAGGGTAGAAGATATTTTTAGATGGAACCAGTTGAGTGTAACTGTAAACATGGATAAATGGGGTAATCATGGTAAATTTTTATTTTCAGGCCGCTGTTTGTGGACTTTTATGTGTAATCAGGGCAGAGTGGTGGGGTTGTTAAGTTTGTTTTGTATTACCCTTGGATATGTAGTCATCTTACTTACTGGATGGCAGGAGTGTAGCAACAGTAAAGTACATCCAGTAGTTCTAAGAAAAGTGGAAGGCAAAACTGCTGAGGGTTCTGGTCTGGGATCAGAAGTGTGATTCTTTAGGACCCCTGAAATGATGGTAATCGGCATTTATGTAGAATTTTGATAGACGATGCTGCTAGTGGCAAGATGTGGGTTTAATGATCATTACATCATTGAAATAGGATCAACTGGAATGTTGCATGTATACAAGTGCATAATGTGACTGAAAAAGATGACAGTTCCCTAGCCAGTGCGGCAGCACATCTGCTTCTGGAGAAGACTATGTGGTCCAAATTCCATAGGGGTTGCTGTTTTTCTTTATTGATATAGGAGAATGTGTCACAGCAATCTAAAGTACTGGAGTGTTGACTACAGAAGTTTTCCTTTATTCTATTTTTATTTATTTTTATTTTCTATTTATTTGTGACATAGTAATTGTACAGATTATGGGGTACAGTTTGATGTTTCAATACATATAAACAATGTATAGTAGTCAAATTAGGGTAATTGGCATATCCATCACCTCAGATATTTATCATTTTTTAGTGGTGAGAACATTCAAAATCCTCTCTTCTTGTTATTTTTAAATATAAAATATGTTATTGTTAACCATAGTCTCCCCACTGTGTATTAGAATGTTAGAACTTATTTTTCCTATCTAATTGTATCTTTGTACCTATCAGAATTTTTCCTTTAAATGTGTGATTGATGCTTTGGGAAATTTGGTTTGATGATGGTGTGCAGAATGAAGAATAGCAGATTAGAGGAATAAGGTGACCAAGAATTTATCAATTATCTTGAAATAAAGTGCTGTTTACAACATTCTCACTCACTTCTTTGGGGTAATAATTCCTAATATACCTATGTCTGCTTAGTTCCCTGATCAGTATAGTCAATGTTTGTTACTCTTCAGTGGGCTTTTCCAAACCTAAACCCTAAGCATTGCAGTAATCATAAAATTGGTCTTGTGCCTCCATCTGTACATTTTTCCAAACATGGTCTCATCCAGTCCTCTGTACTTAAGTAATATTTATGTACTGATGGTTTCTACATCATTATCCCTGGTCAAGATCTTTCTCAAGATTTCTATATCCAATTGGATTTTCCATGTCTGTACTTGAATATCTAAAAGCCATCCTGAGTTAATATAGGTTTCCACTTGGTTTCCCTCACATTTGGGACCTCAGTGTTACTCCTCATCTCATCAAAAGGTGCTACCCCACTATCCAGTGGCTCAATCCAAATAAGAATAATCCTTAATTCCTCACTTGTATTAATCTGGTATTGAAACTAAGCCTTGACTCTATTGACTGAGCCTCATATTTTCTCCAAGTTATATTCTGATTTTCTTCTCCTCCTTCTCCATTGCTCCCTCAAACTACTTTTTACAATTTGTACTTACCTTCTTTATTTCATTGCTTCCATATTCTATTTTCCCTCACTAGAATGTATGCTCAGAGAAAATAAGGAATATGTTTCTATATCATCACCACCAGCACAATATCTGGTACACATTTATGATTTAATAAGGATTTGTGGATGTATAAATATGTCCCCCATCATTCCAAAAAAAAATCTCTCCAACTTCTGTGGTCCAGTGCTAACAGTGCCTTAATTTGGCCTCAGTGTTATCAGCACCACATTCTCCCAAGTGAGCCATGGGAAGCCCAATCTAACCTTTTTTGTACACTGACTGCTTTTACCTTTTGTTTCCTTTTTTAAAATTGTTGGACCCGTGTCCAAGTGACAACCAACATATTTTTTTAATGGCAGCAGGCACTATAATGAACAAATCCACTTAGATTTCTTTATACTGAGGTAATAGTGTTGTCAGTAAAGAGCCAGTCCACACAAAGCTGTTTGTAAAATAATTTTATTCTGTTCCATGCTCATGGATTTTTTGTTTTCTTCTTTCCTAGAAATCAAGAACATTGATGGTCATCTACAGATACGTTCACAAAACCAAAGATGTGTGAAGAGAGTGGAACAATGCCATGAACATAATGCATTTGGAAGCATCATTCATCAGAGGAAAAGTAATTTTCCTTTAAGGCAAAATCATGACATATTTGACTTACATGGGAAAACACTGAAATCAAATTTAAGTTTAGTACACCAGAACAGAAGCTATGAGGTCAATAATCCTATTGAGGTTAGTAAAGCTGGGAAATCCTTCCTCCGTGCCAAGCATGAACTATTTGATACTAAAATGAAATTCCCTCAATGTCAAAATTCTATGAATACAGATTCACAATTCATTAAGCATCATGGAACTCAAAAGATAGATAAACCCCATGTATGCACCGAATGTGGGAAGACCTTCCTCAAGAAGTCTTGCCTCATCAGCCATCAGAGAATTCATACAGGAGAGAAACCTCATGGATGTGGCAAAGCCTTCTCCAGAAAGTCCAGGCTCACTGAACATCAGAAAACTCATGTAGTAGAAAAATGGTATGAATGCACTGAATGTGACAGAGCATTCTGCTCGAAATCACAGCTCAATGCACATCAGAGAATTCATACAGGAGAGAAACCCTATGTATGCTGTGATTGTGGAAAAGGCTTCATCAAGAAGTCTCGGCTCATTATTCATCAGAGAGTTCATACAGGAGAGAAACCTCATGGATGTGGCAAAGCCTTCTCCAGAAAGTCCAGGCTCACTGAACATCAGAAAACTCATGTAGTAGAAAAATGGTATGAATGCACTGAATGTGACAGAGCATTCTGCTGGAAATCACAGCTCAATGCACATCAGAAAATTCATACAGGAGAGAAACCCTTTGTATGCAGTGATTGTGGAAAAGGCTTCATCAAGAAGTCTCGGCTCATTATTCATCAGAGAGTTCATACAGGAGAGAAACCTCATGGATGCAGTCTGTGTGAGAAAGCATTCTCCAGAAAATTCAGGCTTGTTGAACATCAGAGAACTCATACAGGAGAGAAACCCTATGAATGCACTGAATGTGGCATAGCCTTCAGCTGGAAATCACAGCTCAATGCACATCAGAAAATTCATACAGGAGAGAAACCCTTTGTATGCGGTGATTGTGGAAAAGGCTTCATCAAGAAGTCTCAGCTCATTAATCATCAGAGAGTTCATAAAGGAGAGAAACCTCATGGATGCAGTATATGTGGCAAAGCCTTCTCTAGAAAGTCCAGGCTCACTGAACATCAGAAAACGCATGTAGGAAAAAAACAGTATGAATGCACTGAATGTGACATAGCATTCCGCTGGAAATCCCAGCTCAATGCACATCAGAAAATTCATACAGGAGAGAAACCCTTTGTATGCAGTGATTGTGGAAAAGGCTTCATCAAGAAGTCTCGGCTCATTATTCATCAGAGAGTTCATACAGGAGAGAAACCTCATGGATGCAGTCTGTGTGAGAAAGCATTCTCCACAAAGTTCAGGCTCGTTGAACATCAGAGAACTCATACAGGAGAGAAACCCTATGAATGCACTGAATGTGACATAGCATTCCGCTGGAAATCCCAGCTCAATGCACATCAGAAAATTCATACAGGAGAGAAACCCTTTGTATGCAGTGATTGTGGAAAAGGCTTCATCAAGAAGTCTCAGCTTATTAATCATCAGAGAGTTCATAAAGGAGAGAAAACTCATGGATGCAGTATATGTGGCAAAGCCTTCTCCAGAAAGTCCAGGCTCACTGAACATCAGAAAACTCATGTAGGAGAAAAACAGTATGAATGCACTGAATGTGACAAAGCATTCTGCTGGAAATCACAGCTCAATGCACATCAGAAAACTCATACAGGAGAGAAATCATATATATGCAGTGATTGTGGAAAAGGTTTCATTCAGAAAAGCAATCTCATTGTACATCAGCGAATTCATACTGGAGAGAAGCCTTATATATGCAGTGAATGTGGAAAAGGCTTCATTCAGAAGGGCAATCTCCTTATACATCAACGTACTCATACTGGAGAGAAACCCTATGTATGCAATGAATGTGGGAAAGGCTTCAGCCAGAAGACATGCTTAACATCACATCAGCGATTTCACACAGGAGAGAAACCCTATAAGTGCAGTGACTGTGGGAAAGCTTTCAGAGATAAGTCATGCCTTAATAGACATCGGAGAGCTAACAGAGAAAAAAGACCATATGGATGCTCCGATTGTGGGAAAGTTTTCTCCCACTTGTCATGCCTTGTTTATCATAAGAGAATGCTGCATGCGAGAGAGAAACATGTAGGTTCAGTTAAGTTGGAAAATACTTTCTCAAAGAGTCACAGCTCATCACATAAAAGTAATCTCATACAGGAGAAAAATCCTGTTAACATGGTGACTATGCAGATGCCTTCTGTGGTAGCTCAGACTTCATTAAACAACAATGAATTGCAAGCAGATAGGAATGTAGCCATTGTGGGACAGCCAGTGGCCATATGTTCATCCTCAGCATATAATAGAATTTGCACAGAAGAGAAACCTAATTAATGCAGTGAATGTGGTAGTGCTGTCAGTGATCAATTACGTCATATTTTATGTCACAAAAATGACACAGGAATAAACTGTGATGCATTCAAGGTGGAAAACCCTTGAGTAAAACCTACCTGATTATATGGCTGATAAGTGTATACTGAGAGTAAAATAGTATGAATACAGAGACTGGAAAGGTCTTTTGTAGAAAGATCCTATCATCAGTGATCTTAGGTCACAGATCTTCAATGAACTCATAGTTGGTAGAAATAAAATAATTATGTAGAAGTCCTTGGCCAAATAAGACCTCAGTAGGTGTCAGAGAGTTCATGCAGGAGAGAAACTGTTGGGAGACATTTGAAGGCATGGAATGTGGCAGGGTTGCCAGTGGTACATCCTCCCCCATCAACTGTCAGAAGAAATATAGAAATAAAACTATGACCAATAACTGGAATATCTTCAGCAAAATATCAGTGAACATATGAAGCAAATAAGCCCTGTGAGAGTGAAGAATATTTTAGCGATCTTTATCACAAGTCTGACATCATTATATATCAGATAATATATATGATGTGTATTTTAGGACAATATACTTTGAACCAAACTCCTAGTTATTATGTCAGTGACTTCTTATTTAAAAGGAAGTGGGCAGAATTGCACATCATTGGTTAAAGTTACAACACAATGCAACCTTCCCCCCTTTTTTTGCGTCAGCCTTCTTTTCCCACTTGAGATCATTATATGATTAGCTCTTGCATATCTTTGGTTCTAAATTTATTCAGTTGTTATTTCAGACTACTGAAGTTCTTCAAAAGGAAACAATATATTTAATTCAGTAATGTAACATAGCATGTTTTGATGTGTTTAGCTTTATAAATACAACCCGAAGAGAATGAAATTAAAAAATAATAACCAATCAGCTAGTTTCTTACCATAGAAGGTAGTCCTCATCCTAACCGTGTGGTTTGTCTTATTGTTTGTATACACACCACTCAGAAAATTTTTTATCAAATATTTCCTTTACTTGGTGCTATTCTAGGAATTGTAGGTGATGGCAGTGATAGACAAACCCAAAGCCCTTTCTCTTTTTGAGCCAGCATTTTTTCTTAAGCTGGATTATATGCATGTAGCAATTTTACCCTCCAGCAAATGTAGCTGAAGGATGTATATACCTACACTAGTTGAAAGGGACATACAGAATAAGAGTCAGATCATCCTGAACTTTTTATTAAAGGGGCATATTATTATTTGGAGTGGGAGGGGGAAGAACTCAATTTTACTTACATAAAACAAGGTATGAATACTTTTTTTTAATGTTAATTTCTCTGTACCTAGATTATAAATTCCTTGAGAGTTTGTAGATAATTGTATATTGCCCATCACATAGTAAAATAGAAGTTAATTACATGTAGATTTGGAAGGTGAGTGAAGGTGATGACTTATGTAATGGATGAATCAATCAAAATTATTTTTGTTGTTAAAGGAAAGGAGCTACTGGAAATTCTAGGGATTGGTATTGTTCCAAGGAAAAAAACAAAAACAAAAACTTTTTTCAAATCCTGAATAAAGAGTCGTGTCTGCCAGAACATAAAAGGGGCAAATCAAAGAAGGAATAGGATCCACAGAATAAGCCCAATTAAAGGAAGAAAATTAACTGCACTCTCTAAAAAGAGGACAGTATGTGAGATGGATAAAGGTGAAATCACTTTGGATGTCATAGAGAGCCTTTGCATCTGTCCAGATTTATCAACTTTGAGAGTTGCCGTGAGTTCAAACATCTTGGCTCCTCTGTGACACACTTAATTGAGAAATGTGATTTATCTTTATCATTCCTTCTCACTCACCTGGGAATGGGGCCCTTGTCCTCTCTGAGAGTTCTTCCCCTGATCCAGTAAAGATATATACAACATAGAAACAGTGTTTTGCTTATAAGAAAAAAATTGAAAATTTGCCATAAGGTGGCTGCCTCATAATTTAAACCCAAACTCTGGGTTATTGAGTAATTACAACAAATATTTTTTAAGCATCTGCACTGTGGCAGATGCTACTGTAAACACAGGATACACTGACAAACAAAACATGCAAAGTAATGGCCTGTAACAGGATAGATTTAGCATAGATGTTCTCTAGAAAATAGTAAGAAATGGACTCTTTTCCAGTATAGGTTTCAGATCTTCCTCACTTGTCTTGTGAATCTCCACATCCTATCAGGACAGTCACAGCATCTAGGATACCAAATGGGCTGCCCAGATCTGCCCTGCAAATCAGGGGTTGAGCTCATCTTTCAAAGGTTTGCATACCAGATAAATAAAAAGTTCAATTGGGTAGACAATTCCAGGTTGCCTCTTTAAAAAGTCAGTACCTATTTATACCCTCTATTGCTTCACCCCCTCACCTTCATAAAAATTAGTTAACGTTTATAAAGTTATAAACTGTGGTGTTTGCCAAACAATAACTGCATTATTTAGTTATTTAATACTCTCATATGTCCCAATGTACATTTTCATGTGTTTTAGGGAAATATTTGAATTACATTTGAAGCCTCATCCCTTTCTCCTTATTACACGTAACCACATACTCTATTCAGTTGTTCGTGGGCACCAGTCTTCACAGAGACTGCCCCAGTGTTTGGCCTGAAGACAATTCTCATCTAGAGGAGCACTAACCAATCTCATCCATTCCATGAGGGGGACTTGAAATTTCCACGGCTTCTGCCCACTCTGAGGCGTCGCCTCCCCACCATTCTTCAACCATTTCACCTTCCACAAACCTTGTTGGTCCTCCAGAGACACCTTTGAGCCAGTGTCCCCCCAGGATACTGAAGATTTTGCTCTAAACTCCCAAGAGATTGTATTTTCCCCTGAATGGGATCCAGTCATCCCCTAAGATGACTGCGTCCATAGCATCAGTATAGGGGCATAGTGCCAGCATCTTACATTTTTGCTCAGCGTGCTATTGTTTTTATATCTCTTCCGACAATTTCCATAGTTAGTGCAATGATTCAAGCATTCTGAGGTTAATACAGTATTTTCCCAGCAGCTGTTAGGGGAGCTCTGGATAGGAAAACCGACACGGGTGTGGACACTTTATGTCAGAATGTGGGGCACACAATTGGACTCAGAGTTCTGGGAACACCCAGTTTACCTGCTAGACACAGATGGCTCTCATTTCCCTGGTGGTGGCAAAGGAGGGGCTTCAGAGGGAGAACTGAAGTAGGAAGTAGTTTTATTTTTATTTTGTTTAGTACCATGGTAGTCAGTTTTAATTTAATTTTGTTTTTTATTAAAAGTTATACATATTTGTAGGGTATAAGGGTTGAATATCAATACCTGTGTACAATATGTGGTCAAATCAAGATAATTCGTAAATTCAAAAGTACAAAGAGTAATCATTCTTTGTGACCTTTAAACAATTTTTCTTAACCCCCTTCCCTCCTCCCTCTTTCCCACCTCTAGTAACCACAGTTCAGTTCACTGCTTTTGAAAGTTCAATATATTATTATTTGTTTCTTTCTTAATTTATTTGTTGTTTAGCTCCCATTTATGAGTGAGGGCATGCAGTAGTTCTCTTTCTGTACATGGCTTATTTCACTTAACATAATTTTCCACAAGCTCATTCATGTTGCTGCAAATGGAAGAATTTCATTCTTTTTTATGGCTGAATGGTATTCCATTGTGTACATATACCACATTTTCCATATCCAGTTGTCTGGATATCCTGGAGAATGTACCATGTGCTTTCATTTGTTGCATGGAAAATCTGTCCAGTGCTGAGAGAGGGGTGTTCAGGTCACCTGCTATTATTGTATCAGGGTCTATCTGTTTTTTTAGATCTAAAGAGTGTTTGCCTTACATATCTGGGTGATCCAGTGTTGGATGCATACATATTTATGATTGTTATGTCCTCTAACTGGATAGATCCCTTTATCATTATATAATGGATTTTTTGTCTCTTTTTATGGTTTTTGGTTTAAAGTCTATTTTATGCAATATAAAAATAGATACTCCTGCTTGGTTTTGGTTTCCATTTGCATGGTATATCTCTTTCCATACCTTCATTTTTAGTCTGTGTGTGTCTTTATAGCTGAGGTGGGTCTCTTGAAGACAGCATATACCTGAGTCTTTTTAATCCAATAAGTCAGTCTGTATCTTTTGAATGGGGGCCTTAATCCATTTACATTTAGGGTTGTTATTGACAAGTATTACTTTACTTTCTTTTGCTCCTGTCCTTATATTGCTTTTTGTTTAGATGTTTTAAATATCATTTGTTGCTTTCTTCCCCTTTTATTTTTCAGCCTCAATGTTAGTTGGATTTTTGAGGTGACATGATTTAGCTTTTCTCTTTCTCATTTTCATTTTGGTTTTAATGGCAGATTTTCTTCTTTCTTGTGAATCTGTGATAGTGATTATCATGTTCCAGATTCTGGATGCAGGACTCTTTGAGAATTTCTTGCAGGGCTGGTTGTGTGATACTGAACTCCCATAATGTTTGCCTGGGAAATATACTATTTCTCCCTCATTTCTGAAGGATAACTTCACTGGGTATAGAATTCTTGGCTGGCTTTTTTTTTTTTTTTTTTTTTTTTTTTTTTTTTTTTTTTTTTTTTTTTTTTTTTTTTT